TTTACCTACTTACTTACTATATATTATTGTATATATATATATATATATATATATATATATATAGATTTAATAACTTTATATATTATTAAATATTAATAACATAACGTTTTATATACATTGCTTAAAATTACATAAAATTTATTACATTTTTATGAGTTTAATATAGAATATAGAATATAATATTAATCATATAAACATAATTAAAAATTAAAAATTTTTCATTATATAACATTTTAATATAATTCTTCTTTAAAATGATATATTCTTTTCAAGTTTTTTTATATATAGATCCAGATTAATTGTTGATTTCATCATCTACATATTCATCATTTCTATTTTTTATAGAAAAATGAATTATTCTGAAAGATAATTGAAATTAAACTAATAAATAAATTGAAATTTAGTTTGATAATTTTTTTTATATTTTCTATACAATTTACTTACAAAATAAGAAGTAGAACAAATATTTGAGTGGTAAAGGTCAGCCAGTAAATTGAGCTAGATGCTGAGTTTATAGTTGCATTATATAGTTGAGAATATAATATACTGCTGAACAAAGGTACTGCATTATCACAGACTGATAAAATGGCAAATACTTTTCCTATGAATTGTTTGAAAAGTTATAATTTAAAAAAATATTATAATAATATTATATGAAAATATTATTATTACAGAAAATTTTATTATAGAATTTTTATATGAAAATATATAATTAAAAAATTGTTAAATTTGTATATTATTATAAGAATTACTTAAAAAATTAAAATTTAGAAAAGTTGCGGTTATTTAGATAATTATAAATAAATTATAATTGAGTTTTATAGAAAATTTGTACAATTTGAAGAAAATTGTTAATTTTAAAAAAACATAATATACCTCGTTCTTCTATTGTTACAAGTTTTGAAGTCATTGATCTCAAAACTGGTGCTACTATTGGTCCTAATGCAGCTACACCAGCACCTAAATAAAACTTTGTTATAAATTTGAAATTAAATTGATTAATTATATTTTATAATCTATTTTTAAATTTTTTATTTTTTCATTATATTAAAGAATATTTAAGTAAAATTAGTTATTTTTAACTAATAATTTATATATATAATTATATAATTTAATTACCAACGTAGAATAATTCTGGTATTTTTGCCAATGCAAATATTATTCTTCCAGAGGCATGAGCAATAGCTCCAATAGCCACAATTATAGTATCTCTGATTTTCATTAGTTTACTCATAATTGGTACGCCGACTAACATTGCTGAAATAAATACAGTTACACCAATGTATTTCAATGTCGTAATTACTTAATAACTATTTCTCAAAGATATTATTATTAGTGAAAGTTCTTCTTTAACTAGTAATTTCTGTTTTCACTAAAATAATAGAAAATATGAATCAGTTCAAGATTTGTTTTTTTTACAAAATATAAAATAATCTAACCTATAACATCATAATTTTTAATCGCTTAAAAAATTTTTTAGTTATTGTAAAAAAATTTGTATTTCTTATAATTCTTATTTTCTGAGAATTTTCCATTTTTTAAAATACTAAAATATGAATATTGAATATTTTCTTTATTTTAATTTTTGAATTATCTTAATAATAATAACATTTTTTAAAACATCTTTAAAAGAAAGTTATTAATTTGTTTTGAATAAATCTAATATTTATCATAAATTGTCATTGAAATCAAATTTCTCAAAAACTGACCTAGGACAAAAGTACTTGATTGGAATGTTCTAAAATTGCTATATGTGTTCACATCCCATTTAAATTTTAATTGAGCATATAAAAAACTCATAGGTTTTTCATCTCTTTGAAAAACATATAACATCATGATGATCAATAGAAACAACAAGTGAAGTTTTCCATGATTTGGCCTAGTTTTTATAATTGTTTTTATGGTTGCTATTACATGTTTTTTGTCAAAAAAATCAGTTAATAGATTAATACCCATTACTACTTGTTGCTGAGGCAATGTTTGCCACTTTAGCTTAATCAATGAGTATAAAATAGCTAGAAATAGTAGAGTAGCATTTATGATAAACATAATGGTGTAAGATTTGTTGACCACATTATTATAGATATAGGAACCCAAAGCCACACCTGAAATGGAATTTAAATCACTTATCTTATATTTATAGATACTTCTTAATATTTGTAAAATAATTACTCATTTTTTAACTTCAACTTGTTATATAAATATAACATATTTTATAAATATAAAAGCCATTATATTTATTATACTTTTTCAAAACTTAATTATAGATAAAATTTTATTTACCTGTTGGCATAGTACTGAGATAAATTACATCTAAAATAGTAATTCTCAGAGTTCTTTGTTGAATAGATGATATATCTGATATGTATGCGAAACAACTTCCAAAAATGACTACATCTCCTCCCAACATTCCCATGGGAAGAGTCGCAGAATATACAACAGTATTTAGATTCCATGTATCCATCATGGAATTGATCACAATCATAAAAGAATAGATGAATTTTCCTAATAGTCCCATTATTAATGGTAATTTTCTACCTCGACGATCGCTCCAGTTACCATAAAAAAAGGCTAATATTATAGGAACTACATGGCCTGTTATGTTATTCCATTGATGAAAATTTGAGACTGTGAGCTGTTTCCAATTTTTAATTTAAATTTTTTTTTATTCATTTATATAATTTTAAATTCAAATATACATAGATAATTTTCAATATAATTTTTCTTACTATTTTTCTTATTTCTTATTATTTTCTTATTAATTTTCAACATAATTTTTCTTATTATAGTTTTATTATTATTTATATATTTTTTTTATCTTATAATATTTTATCTTATTTTCTCTATATTACTATATTTTCTCTGTTTTTTTCTTTATTATTTATTTTCTTTAATTATTTTATTATGATATTAATTGCAGATTGAAATTATTTTAGAAAAATGAAAATTAAAATATTCTAATTAAAATATTATATTCAAAAATATCAATAAAATTCCATATCATTCAAAAACTTTTATTTTTTAAGAATTTTTTTTTGCTTATTTTAATTATCGACCAGATAATATCATTAATTATACAATTATATTTTTATATTTATTTCTTTTCGAGAATTCTTTTTTAAATATTTTACATTACCTGTACTGCAGTTTTTATAGTCTCATTATCGTTCAGATTTGAGCAAATTTTTTCTGAATAACCATGATCGACTCGACAAGATTTATAGACAAAAAAAGCCTGCTCCACTACCGATGTGATCATGAAGGCCATCATAAACAACCACATTGTTGGTTCCACCGATACATCTTTTATCCATCCGAAGAATTTTTTCCATTTTTTGCCGGTTTCATTTTCGTTTAGTCTTAACTGCAAAAAATTGCAAAATTATTTTTTTTTATATAATATAAATATAAAAATATAAATATAATATAATATAAATATAAATATAAATATAAATATAAAAATTATTTTTTTTAATAAATTGATTTTTTATAATTTATAATATGATGTTAATAATTTATAATTTCTTCTAATGGAAAAATTTTTTTATTATTATTATGATTATTATATATAATATAATATATAATATATTATATAATTATTTATTTTATTTATTTTACTAAAAAAACGAATTAAAATATTTCATAAAATAATTCAGGAAAATAGGATATATAATTTAGAAATATGTAAATATTTTCGTGAACTTATTTTGATTATATAAAATTGTTATCGTGATATTACGCAAGCAATGTTTACATGCATATATCTAAATTAATCAATACTATTCTTTATGCTCTACTTAAATGAACAATTATATTTAATATAGTTAATTAACACTAATAACAATTATTAACTTATAAACAACTTATACTATAACACTAAATAATTATATTATAGAATCAAAAATAATATATTATATACTATATTTAATATTACCATATGTAATAATAGTAAAAGAAAATTAAAATAATTTTACATTTTTTAAAAAACCAAAAATAAAAAATATATTTAAAAATAAAAAATAGGAAGAGAAAATAATAATTCTGAAACTATTGGTATATATATAGTTTATTTACCTCTAATTCGTTTTCCATAATTGTTGTTTATTTTATAATAAAGTTAGATTACGAAAATTCTTTTAAATCTTTTTATGCCTATAGATTTTATCATATAATCTTAACTTACGTTAGCTAAATAAGATAGTGTTTATAATTTTATATTTAGATTCCATTTCTCATTCTCAGATTGCATAAACTCTGAAAATTGTGCTAAAAAAAATTTTCTTTACAAAAATGAATATCATTAAAAGATTTTTTTTATTAACGATTAATGATGATTATTTTTTTTAATAATTACTCTTCATTATAATAATTTCTTGATGATAAAAATAGAGTTATGAATTCCTTTTTTTAACTAATTTACGATAATATTATCTATAATAATAACAATACAATAAAGTTTTAAATTAATTAGATATTTTAATATATAATTTGAAAACAACATTATAATATAACATTGTTAGATATTAATATCAATCAATTGAATAGAAAACCTCAATTAGTTTAATGAACAATTGCAATTTAAAAAATTTTGAGAGAAATATTGGAAAAGTATTAATGATTATAATTCCGTTTCTTCAATATACGTATAATATTAAAAAGTATGCACAAAATGCAAAATACAGATAAAAAAATGCTAATTTATAGAAGTTAAGCAAACAATAGAATTAGTTAAATAAAAAATTATATTTCTGACGAAAAACAGTAAACATTCGCGATAAGCATAATTTACATATTCATTATGCTATATTATTGATGCAATTAATATTATATATTATTTCTTTTTTCTCATATTAAAATATGCACTAATTAAATTTATACAAAATAACTTTGATACAATATTATATAATTTATTGAACAAATCGACCAAGTATGATTATTATTAGCTTAATGTTTAATTTATGAAATTTATGCTAATTCAAATCTAATTTTTTTGATATTATGATGATTTAAAAAAATCGATTAGAAATAAAATTTTAAAATCTCTATCTATACTGAAATGTAATAACATGTTATAAGTAAATAAATATTAATATAATAGCATATAATACCGAGCAAAAAAAAAATTAATATATTATAAAGTTAAAATAATAAACAAAACTTTTGCTCAAATAACAGAATCTTCCTTATCTTAAAAATTATTTTTAATATTTTTGCAACTAATTCATTAAAAATTAAATCGTAAAATATAAATGCAAATAATAAAATATAAATTATAATAAAAATTTAAAAATATAACACACATTAAAAAGCATAAAATATTATTTTCTTAGAGATATATTAAAATACTTTAAATAAATTATTATATTATTAATTATAATTGTATATTGATATCTACATAGAAATCTAAATGACAAAAAAATTAAATATATCATTGAAATTTTTTCCATAATCATAATGATGAAAAACAAAAATTAAGTAACAAAAAAAAGTTTTGTTAATGTAACACTGATTTTTAATGTAACATAAGCATACATGCAATATATGTACATATATACATGTGTTTGCTTTCTCACGTGTATTAGCCATCAATCAATTTAGTCGTCCGGTTACATAATGAAGTCACAATAGAAACACTAATTAATCAAAAATATTTTTACAATCATATTAAGATTAGAAGAGAAACATAACTCCCCGTTATATCACTCTAATAGTACTAGCACGATATACGTGCTATATGTTCTTTCAAGAAAACAACATTATCGATCATGCAACAGTGATGCCAATATTTAAGATTTAAATAGCTCTAAATGATTATAATAGGAAATTTGACAAAAATTCCTAGTTTTTATTTAGTATATATCATGTAGAAGAGATTTAAAATTTAATTTTTAAAATTAATTTAAAACTAACTTAACTAAATAGTCTTTACTTACATTTTAAAATAATATTATAAACTTTAATAATATAATATAAATTTTAAAATAATATTATATTTAGTAATTAGATTTTAAAAAAGAATTAATTTATTTATAAATTTTTACAATTTCTTTTGATATCATAGTATAAAAAATTATATTTCAAATATATATATATATATATATATATATATATATTTATGTTACATTAAGAATCAATGTTATTTTAACTTTGAATTTTTTTTGTTACTTGATTTTTTTCATCATTATGATTATTAAAGAAAAATTCTTTTTTTGTTTTTATTTCTTTAAAATCCTTCTAATACATTAGAAATATTTGAAAGATATTCTCTCATTTTATATTTCTTTTACAATCAGTTGAATATATAAATTTTTTTCTCATAGTCTAATTATTTCATTCTGATCTGTAAATAGAATCAATTTCTCATATAATTAAAGAATTAATAATAATAATAATTTTTCAATATAACAAAATTAAGCAAAATAAACTGATTAATTTTTTAATAAAAATTATTTCATGTTATTCCTGGCAAATCACATCGCGCAAGTAATAACTACAATAATATTCATTATGGACTCAGGTTTTGCGTTTAGGCCATTAAGAAATTACACGAAAGAGGAAGTATAACGATTATCCGCAAATCTGATGAAATTCTCAAATTGACTGGTTTCCAGTGCCATTATAGGACAAGTATTGCAGAAAAGTTCGAAAAAGAATTTTCTATCACAAATTGTATTCTATTAATTTCGTTAAAATCTATTTTGTTAAAATTCTACAAAGAATGATTTTTTTGACTTTTTTTTTCTTTTTTTTTTACTTTTCCTATTTTTTGGAATTTTTTTTTTTATCAAGTGCTTTGACGAGAAATTTCTACAACACCAGTCGTAACAGCAATATTTCATTTATACGATACACTTTATCTCTAGAAAGCTAACACATCTTAGGCTTATACACTTATAATTAAATTTGATATGATTTTTTTTCTTTTAATTTTATATTACAGATGCTTTCATGGAATAAGAAATTTGTACTTTAATGCTATAATAAATTTCAACACTTTAATAAAAATAAAATTGTGCGTAAGTATACTCTAATACTCTTCAAATTCAATTCGAATTAAAATAAAAAAAAATAAAAATAAAAAACGTACAATTTTTAAAATTTTTTTGTAAAAGCATCTGTGTCTTGTTTCAATCTATCGAACGGTGGCCCGCGGTCAGTTCGATCGTAACGTCGATTAACATTTATCAACATAGCTGGACCTGCCAGCAACATCAAAATACGTATTTCTTTGTGATGAGGGAACATTCATTATAGGCTCGCTCTATTAGCTCGAGATGAATTTCAACGACTAATTAGACTCTTTGGAAAGTTACACATTCATCACGATAGACATTAGAACGATTAATTCATTTCTAAATTTGTCTTTACAATAAACCAAGCCTGTTGCAATAATATTTTCAATAATAATTATTTTATTCAAAAAATAAAATTACGATATCATATATATATAATATTTATTAGAGATTATAAAAATTGGCAAATTATAAAAATTTGTTATTGAAATCGAGATAAGAAAATTGAGTTTCAAAAGAAAAAGAAAAATATTAGATCTTAGTGATCTTGGAATCTAATTTCTACTTGTTTTATTATTGCACCAGGTTCTGATTTTTGATTACTTTATTAACTATGTCGAAACATTTATTTTATCGAGTGATTTATTTATAATTACAATCTTCGTTAGGAATTATCTTGTAATAAACGTATATCGCGGTAAAATTACTTGCGACATGTCTTTTAACTCGTTCTGTATACACGACATTACGACATATGTAATCAATGAAATAAATAGAGAATAATTTTAAAAGTAATTATACAAGTTATAAATTATACAATGCAAAGAAATTATAAAATATCAAAATAGATAAGAAATTTGGAAATAAAAATCATGAATGATATAATATATCAATGATAATATTAATGAATATTTTTTGACATTTAAATGAATTTAACGAATAATTCGGAAAATATGGTAATATGTTCTGGATATATTTGACAAAAATCATAATAAATTATAATATATTTTATTTAAAAATAGAAAAAAATATAGAAAAAAAAAAACAACATTAAAATCCAAAAATCTTTGAGAGAAAATATTTATCAAAATATAATTATGAATTTTTATAAATATTTATATATGATGCAAATAATGATAAAAATATCATAATAGTGTGTTCTTTAATTATCAGAAAGTATCGATAAAAATTTCAGAAAAATTTTATTCAAAATCACTTAAATTTCTAAAGATTATTTAAAATTTTAAATTATAACAGGTTAAATACCATATAATGAACATACTACTTATATTAATAAATAATATTGAACATAAAGAAATCACATTTGTCATTGAATCAAAATAAAATTATGAAACAATCAGCAATACGGTATTGATATACATATGTATAGAACACAGTTTTGGTTGCTTAGAACATATTATGCAACCATACGCGGCATTGTTTAGTCGATAGACACTTATCTACTATTAGACCGAATCGCACTGTGCAGAAACGCATGTATTATCTTATCTAAAATATTTAAAAAGAATATATATACATATATATTCTTTTATATATATTTTGTATATTATATATATATATATATGTATAAGAAGATAATTCTTTTCTTACATGTGATTAAAAAACTCATTAATCGACGCATTTCGTCGACGAAATAGGATTAAAAAAAGAGAAATGTAAAAATAGCGAGTCTTTTTTTCTCTTTTCTTTCAATAATTTTTCTCGTCTTCATTTTCTCTTTCATTCGTTCTTGCTTTTAATTCCTATAGACTTGCCGTGGTCCCGTTTCGTTTTTTGAACGAAATTTCTATATTAAAAATCCAACCACGGTTTCGTTGTATCGAGCTTCTCATTTACTTAATCTCTCGTTATTGACTAGAAGAATGTGCATAAGCTAACAGCCAGACTGTTATCCTATATTACCAATTTCATGTTAATTCATTTTATTTTTAATATTTATTTTTTCGATTGTCACATTTTTTTTTCATAAAAATTTCAAAAATTCGAATTTTTAAATTTAGAAATTATATCTATATAGAATTATTTTTTATTTTATCATATCATTATTAGAAAACATTATTCGACAAATTTAATATAATTCTGAATTGACATCTTTATTTTTTTATCCATTTTTTTAAAATTATTATTCATAAATTTTCATTATGAAACCCAATTAAAATAGTTGAAACAGTTTATAAATATTGACAAATTAGTCTTGCTGTCAGCTTTGAAAGATTATTCCCCGGAATAGAACCGAAACATCTAATCATACACAGAATAGCGAGATACGACTTAAGTACAAGTCATATTTTCCCAAAATAGGGAGATACGGAAAGATTCGAGTTTACACGATTTTCCGTTTCTAACTTATGACTAATCGACGTGTTTTGGAGATCGATTGAACCGCATTAAGGACGGCAGTCGGCGTTCGTGAGACAAAGAAAGAAACAGCCGAATATTTCTCTCTTCCACGCTTCCAGTAAATCAGATTTTCCAAATCAAATCACCTTTGAATCAACCAATTTCATTGACATTTTTTTTTCTTAAATTCATCGCATTTCGTGTATTTCTTTCAAAATATTTATCAATGGAAAAAAAAAAAAACAAACATAAATATCTGACAAAATATACGAAATGTTAATATATTCATGGAACATCTTTGAAGAATAAGATTCTAGAAATAAAAAACAAAAATACAAAAATTGATATACAAAAATGTCGAGACTAATTTATCCAAGTTACAAGGAGTTGAATTTGCGTTAGATGAAGCAAGATAGAAATATAACGACACGATGGTGCGACGGAGATAAAAGTATCTCGTTTCATTTAACGCAAACTTCAATTGCTTTTAATTTAACGAATAAGCCTCAATTGACATTTTTCTACACCAACTTTTGTACTTTGGTCTCTAGAATCGATCCTCAAAAGATATTTCCACGAACATTTGTAGATCGTATGATTATTCTGAATACACTATTTCCTCCGATTTACGAACGTGTCAATGAAAAGAAACCTAACCTAATCGACGAAACGAGTTGTCAAAAATTCGTAGGTGCAAAGTACATTTGAGAGTAATTACTCCCGAAAATTGTTGTTCTCGAGACTATTTCTTTACAAATGGATAATGTAACGTCTATTAGCGAAAAATAACTGCTCGCATCTTCAAATCTTCCTCTTCATTTTTCTAACAGTTTTCGGATAATCTTCAAAAATATTGCGCACGCGCAGAATTTTCTCTCGATCTTCCTCTCGTCTCGAAGGATTGTTTCACAGCAACCGTTGAGCCCAGCCATCGATCAAGTCTTCTTCTTCTTCTTCGACACTGACCCATCCAGATTGAAATTATCGACGAAACTTATCCTTTCCTCGTCGTTATCATTGCGGATGTTCGCCGTTTGGCTGGATCACGAGGGCCGTCGAGGAAATAGGTGACCATGCTACCTTTTCCTTTCACTTGGATGGTGCCACGACAACTGAGCGGATATCCTTTCGCGGTCAGGATGTCTCGAACCTCCTGGGTGACCTGAATTCCATCCAATACGCCCGTAGACTCCATCCTCGAGGCCACGTTCACCGCGTTACCCCAAATGTCGTATTGCGGTTTCCGGGCGCCTATCACTCCGGCAACCACCTACACGAAAAAAGATTCATTTACTAAAATTCTATCTGTTTGAATTGTTTCAATATAACACAAAGGACTCGTTTACCAAGATTCTATGTTTTAAAAAAATTAAATATTTGAAAGAAAGGACGTATTAAATGTTAATATAAATGTAAATTCAAAAGATTCGTTTAAATTCTAAAAGTAAAAGTGTTTTTGGAAAAAAGTATTTATATATATAAATAAAGTGTATTTAAATTTTTCTTACTTTACACAGGAGGAAAGAGAATCAGAAAATTGCGAAAAAAAAAAAGGAATAACATAACACTTGCTCTAACACCTCACTGCGGTTGTATCGGAGAAGAAATTGAAGAATATTTTCGAGTTTGAAAAATTTTAAATTTTTCCAGAATTGTATTTATTTCTCACCAAATACCAAAGTGTACTTTATCTTCTCTCGTCTAGTTCGGGTCAAATAAGGGCGCTTTCGTGAATGTTGTAAAAGCTAGTCGAAAATTGATTGACGTTACCGGTCCAATATTGATGCCCACACGCAACCGGAAGTTGTTAAAGCTGTGCTCATTAACGGAAGCCAGCTGTTCGCGTATCCTCAGAGCGTAGTCCGCCATCGCTATCACGTGTTTGTAATTTTTCATGTCGCAGGTGCTTTTCGTCAATCCTGCGGAAAGAGTGGCAGAAAGATTCGCTTTCGAAATTATGTAACTCGATTTCTCGTTTCAAAATAAAAATTATTTCGAGAAGAATTGCATAAAGGAGGGGAGGAGGGGGGGGGGAGGGGTTATGGAAGTTATCCATTAAAAGAAATGTTGCAATAAGCGAGTGAATTATTCTTGTAAAATTTTCAGAAATTCAGAATTTCAGAAATTGTTCAATTTAATAAATCATTCGAACGGATGAAACGAAATCATCAGTTAATCATTCTACAGTGATTCAATAGGAACACATATCAATATGGATATGTTATTAAGTATTAAGTACATAAACAAAATATAGTACAAAATTATTGAGTACAATATAGATCAATTGTTAATCTATTCTTTGGAAATAAAATAAAATTTGAAAGATACGATTATTTCAAAAAAAATGTCAACAATTCTCTTTCTAAAAGATAATTCAACATTTCCAAAAAAAAGAAGAAGGAATTAAATAAAAAAAAAATTGCTCGTAAATTCTCAATTTTTTTTCTTTTCAAGCAAAAAAAATTTCCCTAAAAGATATTTCCAACACAAGAAGATTCACAATTTTTTCAAAAAAAGGATGAGCGCGAAACTACGCGGACGAAAAAACGAAACGAAAATTCCCGGAAGGGAGAGATAAAAATTACAAGAGAAGTCACAAAGAAATAACAACCGGGAGAGGATAAGAATTTTTTCTCTTTTTCCAAGAAAAGAAAATCTGCGAAATGTGCAGCGTCAAATGGAAAATAATGGTTTGTGCACGGTTTATACACAGGACGTGACGAATTTTAATCAGCGCCTCGTTGAATCGTAATCGGGGATATGGGGTGAAAAAGGAAGTTGACGGCTTACCGGATGCAGCCATGTACGTGGCCCCCGTACTCTTGATCTTCTCGATGTATTTGTACGGCTCCTCGGCGAGCAACTCGTCGAAATCGGCTATGATCTCGTTCAAGAGTCTGAGACACTCGACACCCTCGTTATTCGCCTCCAATTCCACGTAGAACTCGGAAAAGTTTGGTATCGAGGCGAACATTATGCAAACGAAGTCGCACTGTTCGTGGTACAGCTCCTGGAAAATGTTAATCTCGTGGAAGAATGAACTTATCGGCGATTCCAATCAAAGACATTGAGGAATCTTTGATTTTTTTCGAGATAGAAAAAGACCGAACGAAATTTTCAACGATTTGAGAGAGAGAGAGAGAGAGAGATGAAAAGAAATAATTATTTGAACGGTCGGTGGTTGAGGATTGTTAAATAAATTGAATTGATTGGAAGAGATAATTTGACGGGCTTTGCTGTGAAAAGAAAGGAATTTGAATAATGTCGAGGATTGTTTAGATGAATTGCAAGTTTATGGAAGAGAAAATTTTAAAAGAAAGGAATTTCAACGATATTGGAATTATTTAAATCGATTGATTGAAAATTTTGGAAAAGAGAGGAATAATTTAATCGACCTCGATTTAGGGGAAGAAAATTGTTTTACGTGATCTTATTTGTAAAAGAAGAATAATAAATTATTATCATTTTTATTCTTCATTTTTATATTTGTAAAAATGAATTTATACAAATATAAAGATCAGAATATTTGGAATATCAATCTTTATAATTTTTTAATTTCTTTATAACGTTATTAATAGAGAAAGAATATCACATAAGAGTATTTTCATCAATTTCCTTACGTCTGAATTAACCGTAGACAGGAAATGGGCCGCTACATGTTCCGGAAGTATGTTCGCCAACAATTTTTGATTATAGGCCTTCAAATGCTCCATTTCCTCTTTCTCCTCCGTGGCTTGGAGCTTCCATAGAAAGTCCAGCCTGTGTATATTTATCAATAAAGTTCATCGAATAAATTATTTAACAAATTATTTATCTACTCATAACTTCTTCTTCAAAGATGGAAGAAAAATTAAATCTTTAAAATATTATATAAATGAATGAATAAAAAAAGTACAAGTAGATATATTACCTGTAAGTGGCTTCTGTGTGTTGGGAATGGGCAATCAAGCAAGTCATAAAGAAAACTACCAGAACTCCTGCCAACCACCTTCCAGTCAATTCCACGTCTTTCTCGTGTACGGCTTCGTAGATGCTGATAGCTAAGTAGCAAGCAACTACTAGACTTAGTATAGCCACTTTCAATACCGATGTTAAAATCTGATAGACTGCGCAGGTTATCATAACTAGCATCACCAATACTGGGAAAAGCTACAATAAATACATAAATAGATCAAAATGTAATAAATTAAACTTGAGTAAATTCGATGCATTGTCAGCTTTGTTCAATTTAAATCATCCTGATTGTGGTTAATTTAGACTTGAGAAATGCCATTTTGGCTTAAGAAAAGTTGCTTGGCTTTAAATCAAGGTAGTATAAGTTTTAATAGATTTTAAGCTTAACTTGGATTCACTATTTTTTTAACAAGATCACAATCAATTTGCTAATTATTAAATGCAACAGTGCACGCTGTTGCGATATTATCGTTAAAACTAAAACTTCTTCGGTTTCTGAAGCGCTCATATAAGTTTAAAAACTTAAAATGCGAACAATTGTCAAAATATTTATAATTACATTTCCAAATCATGCGATATTTATACTGGATATTGCCATAGTATCATTTTTTTATTCCGAATTATCACACAAAAAAATTTTTGTTACAATATATATGTAATTATATGTAATTATTTCTGACCGTTAAATTCGTTCAATAAACGCAACATCGAAACAATTTTGGCACGTCACGCGTCTTAGGAACGCGGCCTAAGATCCATTAGTAACATCCATCAGATATCGAGTTAATCTCGAGTTAATTCGAGACAGGTCGAATCGATCATACGGTACTTACGTCAGCGAAAACGGTGTAATAGCAAACATTGACGGGTGTGTCAATACTTTGGAAAGTGACACTGGAATTATCAGGCCACTTGGTGAACAAAAAAGTGCCGTTTCCGCATACATGGCCATCTTCCAACGTGAGCTGCAATCGGAAAAAACAAATGAAGACTTATCACTTTGTTCCTTTTCTTTCTATTGATTTGAATCGTTTCAATGCAAGATCATTTCGGGAAAAAATGATCCATTAGTTGCTTATGGTTCGTTACACGATCTATGTAGTCTTGTTCAGATTAATCATATAAAGAATGTTCGGAAATTCATTATTAATCTTATAACGACATCTTCGAGATTTTAATGAAATTGGAAATCATATAATTTTGAAAGTTATTTATCGCAAATTTTATTTTTCTTCAGTTTTCAACGAAATTAAATTATTGATCCATTTCAATTCTATTAAAATTGAAGTTTTTATATTTATATTCAATTCTATCGATATTTTAAATTTATTCTCTATTGTATATTATCAACTAAAATTAAATTTAAAAAAAAAAAGTTGAAAGATTTTTCTTCAATCATATTTCTTCGAATAGAGTAAAAAATTTTTATCATTTGCTAATTTTTAAAATATTTTTATATTTTTAGAATATTTTGACGAAATTTTAATCATGATAAAAAATATTTGAAATCACTCTGTATAACGATGCAAAAACGTCGATAGGTTAAAGCTATTCACGTGTTGTTCTAAGTCGATAGATCCATGAATTCATCGATGATGGATGGCCAGATATTCGATATTTGATGATGATTGATGAGGCATTCTCGTGAATTTCATCATAACAATACCTTTTACGAGATTTCATCGGATTTTGACGAATTACAGTAGCTCTCAATGAATATCGTTTTTGAAATATTGAATTAAGACACTGGAGTGAAGAAACAAGCGTTGATTTGTATACTTACTTAATGGTACACGATACGATACGTATCAGAAACATAAATAACACGAATAATACAAAGAAACATCGTGCTTGGAATTCAAAGCGAATGTTTACAAATAACACGTCGTGCGTTATTACTTATTGGTTGCGTTGAACTACGTCTAAGCTTACCAGTGGCGACAGTGCTGTGACGAAAGTTAGAAACACGACATACGTGGCCAGAGCTTGTGCCACTCCACGATTCTCGAATACGTGCACCGCAAAATTTCGAAAACATTGTGGCACTACCTAAAAAAAGTAGAAATTGTAAGTAAATCCATCTGATTAAAAAAAAATCTTTTTTAATTTTGCGCATTTAATTTTTTTTCAAGTTCAATTTTTTTTTCTTTTTTGAAGTATTTAGTAGTATTATTATGTATAACTATAGTAATTGGCGATAATGCGTGGCCAAGACAGAATCGATGGCCTCAGCATTGACCTGGAATTTTGCCACGGATTCAAGGTTAAGAGGAAGTGGCAAGATTCCAAAGAGTTAGTCCGATCGATTGAGTCGCGTTGGAGATTCCTCGCAATACATGAAATTTGTTTGATTAATCCTTTTTATGTCAATACATACTCGATACATGTATACGTTATGCGGGAATGTTACATAAATATGCATAATGGAATATTAGGAAAACTTTGTTTTAAAATTCTAGATAATTATTAGATATTATTGGTATATGAATATATATAACTATCGACGAATTTGAGAATTTAATGATGCGTATATATGCATATAATCATTCGTAATTATAATCATTTATGTACGATGAACAGTCAATGAATTGATAGTCGCTCGATAAAAGGTTTATAATATGCATAATTGTAGAGCATAGCATGCGAATAATTGAATAATAATTTTACCTTGTTCTTTTCTGCTAACAGAATGCCATTGATTATCGCAATTATCAATATGCTCAGAGTTACACATGTGTAAAAATATCCATTCCTAAAAAAATAATTTTCTAATTTAAATATTCCTTTTTTATTTGAATTTAAAAAACTTTTGTCTTTATATTTTTGAAGTGAATTTAATATTAAATTATTGGTCGAAATTAATTTATTTTTTTTTATCCAAATACCTTTAATATTACATATAAGCTTTTAAAAACTTTCGAAAATGGATTAAATGAAATTTTGATTTTCTTCATGAGAAAAAAATTGATCGATGAAGTAAATATACGACGAATTAACTGAAAGTCGGTTTGATTGATAGATTGCAACAGGGGAGAAAAAAAAAAATGTTTTAAAAAAAAAAAAAAAGTAAAATTTAATTCAAACTGTCTTGTTTACCCGTATAGAGTGATTGCTATAGCAATCACGACCACCATATACACGAAACCGGAACAGACGAAATATGCTGACAGCATTCTATCCCTTTCGCGTGAATACTGTAACAGATAAATTAAAAATACAATATAATCGCGATCGTGTATGTACGAATACGAATAATATAAATAAATAAAAATATTCTCGTATATTATAAATTCAAAGTCTTGAGTGAAAATTCGGCGAAAAAGAATAAAAGCGGGATGAAAATTGGTGAAAAAATGGATATAACGTAGAAAAAAATATTGTACAATACAAAGCTTTGAAATTTTTTAATAGATGAATAAATAATTGTGTGTGAATAGAAAGAAAGATATCAGTGATAAAATGTTTAAATCGAAGAAACCGTTAGATAAATTTTAATAAACATTATCTTTGTGCGGTTGTAAAATCTACAAATGTATTAGCATAAGTTTTAAAAATTCGTTTTTAGATAAATGTGAAATTTATGCATCGTTTTCCTCAGTTATCTGCTTTAGAGCAAAAAAATTCTCTTATATTAATTTTCCACTGATTTAATTAATCTGATTATTCAAGGAAGCACAAGATTGCCTGAATATTTTATACTGCAATTTTTGATATATAATTTTTCATACAAGTAAAATAAAAGATAAGAAATATCGATCTCAGATTCGAATAATTTTAAGGCTAATTGTATTTTTAAAATTAAATAAATTTAAGTTTACCTTCTTCTCAACGTCGGGATTACGAAATGTTAGGATGAAAGGAGTGCAATATTCTGTTCTTAATTGATCTATGCTCCTGGCATCGATCGCCCTCATCAGATACTCGTTCACCTCGTCTTCAGGGTCTTTTTTCGCCTCTGTCGTCTCTCCAAAGCCTAATCTATTATAGAACGAACAATCGATATAAAAAAGAAATTTATCGAAAATTATTTATTTTCTTTAATTTCAATTTTTAAAATTATGAGATAAAAGATCACTTGCCTCTTGAAATTTCACAAATTTTAACTTGCAAATAAATCGTTTTCAACTTCTATATATAATTTATTTAAAGATAACGATCTACACTATAACCTATTCTATAACTAAATTTAACACAGATTAAAAACGAACCGGCACCGCCATCGTTGCCCGAACTTTGATCAAAACTTTAATCTAAAAAATTACAAACTTCGTAATTTGAAAATTACAAAATTTCAAAATTGATCGTCCAAAACAAATTATCATCTCTCCCATTAAAAAATATTAAATAATATAGGAATAATTCAGAATTGATGGGAATATCGTATATTTCACATTTTCTTCCTTTCTCTCGAAGGAAGAAATTAAAAATGGAATAACGAGAGGAATAACGATGAATCACTTACTTGTTCTGTTTCCCGTGTTGAGACCCGTGCCCCATCACCCTCATCTCTTTGGACACGTTCCCGTTCGCGGGCAAACCCTTTCTCAATCCTGAAGGTATGTTACTTCTGTGCGAATCCCCAGGGACGATCAGGTACGTTTTGATATTGTGCTCCTTCAGGTACGCGTTCCTTTCACCCCCGTGACCCTCTTCCACCTCGTAGAAACCATCCAGACAGTCGAGGGTCTCTTTCGTGATGTGGACTCGTCTATGGAGAAATATTGCAATCAATCATATAATGAAGATTTATCTCTCCATTTTTAAATTAATTTTTAAAAATGGATTCAAATGGATTTCAATTAATATCGAGCTATTGAGAATTAATTTTAAAATCGACGTTTTCATAAATTGATATTATTATTATCGAAAGAAAGAGTGTCATCATGTAAAAAAATATTTATCTTTAGTTTCAGATATTTAGATTAAAATTTTTGGAAAAGTTGAAGTCGAGTTTTGTATCTTGTGTACGTTGTATTGGTTTGGTACACTGTGTCATTTGTTGACGAAAGAAATCACGTGGCAAGGAACATTATAAAAATATATTTCTTAAAAATAAATAGATATCACATTTTCTTATCGTATATTTTCATTTAATAAAAAATCGATAAAATGCATCTGTTATTCACGACTCGATGAAACGGAATAGTTAACAGATATGGAATTTCATCAAGTTTCACGGTAAAATAAAATCACAAGTTTAAAAATTTAATCTCGTTATCCCTCTCGAAAAAAAGAAAAAAAAAAAGAAAAGAAGACGGAACGAACCGTACGC